TTGCTCATTTTGCCTCCGAGAAATGAGCAAAAATGGGACGGAAAACATGGAATTTTGGCATAATCTTGCACATAAGTGTCTGATATTCAAATTTCCCTTTCTGGGTCAAAACTACTCAAATTTTCTCACTCACGTTGTTACGACTGAATCGAGTTTTCGATTCTCCATACAACGATGCCAAAACGAATTCTCTGGCTCAAATGGTTCTTGAGAAACCTAGATATATAATAATAATAGACATTTTCGGCACATTTAAGCGTTTTTTCCACGACCTTTAGCCGACGATTTCTTCCGTATTATTGACCCAAACACTTCACAAAGGCATATTTGTGATCTTCTTACGTCGAAAGGAATGGATGGAGCTAAAAAAACTCGCATGTACAATTTTCATTTATGGCCGAAATTTTTCCAAGAGCCCGCTTTCACGGGTGGATCCAAACCATTTGAGCCATTTTCCTCGAGTCAATAAGATGAATTTAAGGAAAAAAATAGAAGCAGTTTGCAAGGAACATAACATGTTCCGAACAAATACAGTAGATCCGAAAACTACAGTAAAAAATAATGCAGAAAAGAAACACTTTCATACCTGGAATTTCATCCTGTTCCTCATCATCCATGTTTAGATCCGGAAAATGTCGCTTCTACAGAAAATTTCTCAAATTGTCAGACTTTATGACCGGTTTTTCATATAATTGAACAAACATTTCCATGCCAACAATTCGGCGGGTCCAAAACATTGGGGGAAAACTTGCGATCATTTGAAGCATGTTTGTACATCAGTTGTTTCACCGAAATTCCGCGGCATTTAATTGATTCGATTGGAAAACTCGAAGTCGCCCAGACACGATTTGAAATATTTGTTGAAATAAATGTAAATCACTCAGACTGCTTGAAACGAAAATAAACATGTATTTTAAGAGAGACAAGTTTTAACGCATTTTATTCAAATGTAGAGTCGACTTTATAAACTATGTCACGAAAGTCAAGACTTGTCGGAACGAAATTTGTTTGCTAAAATCAGAAGTATACCGTATGTATCAAGAAACTGGACTAAAAGTTGCCAAACTCCATCACACATTTTGCTTACTTTTCGCAAACTTTCCCCATCCAAGGCAATAAATCTTTTCTGAACGAAAGTCGAAAACTTTGGCGGTCTAGAGGAAATCAATAAAAACGGGGAAAATGCATCTAATAAACGTCGTTATCGCGCAAAATTTTTCAACAATAAATTACTGCAAATGGAATGGCGAAAGTTTGCGGAACATCCAAGAGGGTGTTTTGGAGCAGTCGCAGGCCAACATTGCGGACCATTTCATTATTTAGCAAGTGTGAAATTCCCAAAGCACGTACTGTGGTTTTATTATGCCGAAACGTGTTAAATCAGTGTTCGGAAAGGCATTAATTCGGATTTTCCCTGAAAACATTTTTTCCCGAATACTTTTTACCGGCTTTACCGGTATTATGAATTTATTATTATTATTACATCGGCTTGAATACGTTTTTTGTCACGCTGGTGCTCAAAATAACTCACCCAAACTAACAATACTTTACAAGGGCTTTATTTAGCTTTAACTGCCATAAACATCCCTTTGGTAGATGTGGAAAATAAATTAGTTCTCTCTGCTTCAAACTGCCTAAAATGTGGGGGGGTTTTGCCGATAATTTAGCAAAAATGAGCCGAGCAACATGAATTTATCAGTAGAATTTAACAATTTTCTTCAAACATTTTAACGCTCCCCAATCAGGCTGACTTTCACTAGTGCTTGTTTATTCATTCAGGTTTAGCTTTATTTTCAATTAGGCGAAATTGGAGTTCATTTTAAGCGCCCGTAGCCAGACTTTCGCGCTTATCTAGTTTGCCAACAATAAATCTTTTCAAGCCCGAACTGTGAAGTTTGGGAAACTTCCACCAAACAGTTTTGGAATTATCGCAGCGCCCCATTTGATTGTTTAGCAAGTGTGAAATCCCCGAAAACACGCCTCGTAGCGTAAAATTAGTCGGGCATATTTGGAAAAAACGGTCGGGAAATTTACCGGAATAAGCAGTTTTGCTCTGTTTAGTGCCGAGTTTCTGCATTTTTCAATAGTTTTTTTATCTCTACCAAAGGGATCTTCAGCGTTCGTAAAGCCTTTTTTATTCAAATTTAGGGCTTTGAGTTTGCAATTTGCAATTTTATCGAAATTGTTGAAAAAATCCCTTCTTTGTTAACCGCTGTTCATGTTTACATCATGCATAAACTTTGCTATAAAAATAGTGTGCATACGGGAGATTTCCCATTAAAAATACACGATTTTCTGCCTTATTCGGGCACTTAAGTGTGCAAATAAAGTAAAAAAATCAGCTGGAAGAAATGCAATCATTCTACAGGAAGCGCTAAAGGGTTAATAAACCGCACACATTTTTAAATAAAAAAAATAAACCGTCCTGTATGCAGCTCACTGAAGAGTTCCAGTTTATTCACCGCGTCAGGATGATTTTTCGAAAGTTTTAATCGCCGGCTTTAGCTTTTGTGGGTTTGTGCATTTTCATTTCATTTTTGAATGGCCGGATTTTTCTGAGCCCAACAGTTTCTCCATAAACAGAGCATTGTTAGTTGCGCGTTTTATTCATCCCCCGATGTAAAACAGACGAAAAATTTGGAATAAAAGGTTTACAATGACTGATGGTTTAAGCTAAAAGTGGAGCTAAATATTTGCGGGCATTAAATCCTTCATTTTTTCGTTTCTCTGTCCAAACTTTTATTGTCGAATTTATCAAAAATTGTTTTTCACTTCCCTGGTCGATATTAAGATGTTAAGGCCATTATTTATTAGAATTCCTCATTTTGCACTTTCATTGATCATTTTTGACAGCGCTTTTGTGCTACTTTTGTCGATTAATAATCTTATCATTGCTTGATTATTGAATAAATACTCAGTTCTTAATGAAATCTTACGATTATGGATTCATGAGTCGAGTGGAATGTCCCAGGCTTTTATGGGACATTCATAAAATTCTCTTTAATTGTTATTTTTTTCATAAAGTTTTGTAGTTTATTATTTTTTTGAATGGCTGCGAAAAAACTGAAGACCAAGTTAAACGCACAGAATTAACAATTAGTCAGTTTCTCACTTGCATAAAAAATGGGAAATTTACATTAAGCAGGCAAATTCACAAGCCGACAGGAAACAGCGATTTTCTGCCAATAGAGCCTCAAAATAGTGCATAATATTTTTTTCAATATTGAAATCAGCGAAAAACTTACCTAGTTAGGAGCAGAAGGGTGTTTTGGGTGACAAATTCTAAACTTTTGCTGGTTGTTTGGGCCTATGCGTCTGTTATCGTGAAGAACTTGCAGCATTTCAAAAACACAGTTTGAGAGTAAATAGTTTGTAATTCGTCGGCTGTTTGAAACTGAAAAATCGGTGAAAAACTGACTTCGGTTTAAGCTAAAGAGTTTATGGTGTTTTCAATTCTCACCTCGTCTAGACCAGCTGGCCTGTGGCTTCATTCCTTCGCAAAAATTCTCAAAAGCTGATTTAACGCTTGGATAGATTGAGGTTTGAAGGACCAACAGTTTTGTTTAAACAGGTTTATTGAAAGTGGAACAAGGATTAGTTTACGGTACTGAACGATCACGATTACATCACTAATCAATAATGTCTGTCGCTCTACGCCGTCTCGCCTTTTGTCACTTCCGCCCTTGCGTCATGCGCACGACAAAGCAGTTCCAGATAATTAAACAACGTGTTTTCAGCTAGATGGCGCGACAAAATATAAAAATAGAATCGGAAGAAAAAATAGAAATGATCATTCTAAAATTTAGATACAAATTAGAGCAAACAAATGTCCGATAAATCTGAAACAACGCTGAAGCTGGCTAAAAACTCTTATATTTTAAACCTAATGTTGCGACATGCTCAAATAAATCCGTTATTTTGAGGAATTTCCCATCATTTGCAGATTTTACGAAATTTCAACAATTTTTTTTAAATTTCTGTGCTGAAAATTTTTAAAAATAACAAAAAAATTCCTAATCAGAAGCGGAAAGCTGTTCATATTCAATAGGCGCATCCGAATTTTGCCACCATCGGGCTTCTACGAGAAAACGCTTTTACTGTTACGCAGTTTTCGAGTTTCAGCACAATAAAAGGGCCTTTTTAGATTACATTTTAAGTATCTTCAGTTCCATAAAACTCTCGCCAGTTTCCCGCACGTTTCCAATAAGGAAATCGTAACAACAAATAGATGTAATTCAGCACAAATCCGGATCGAAGGACCAAAAGTGGAAAATAGTTAAAAGTGCCCTGATTTCTTTGAGAAAATCGTTTTTTCATTGGTGATTTTACGCCACATACCTGGTAAAAGGGTTTTCCGTTCACTATCCATTACAAATCAAATTCATTCCTGGGTTTCAGTCATTTATTGCCTCTATTTATCAATCAAAATACGTTTCGGTGTATTTTTCCACCATCATCAGTTTTTA